AAATTATAATTTAACAGTAAATCAAAATTCAAAAAATATATAAAGAAAATTGTCACCGGACAAGTTACGACTAGAGGTTGCTTTCAATCTTTCAAGAAATTTTGACCTTTCGTTGTTTGATTATGAAGATGGCAAGTGATAATGTCAGGACCCAAACCACACTAGAATTTAGGTAAACTTAAGACTTTCGAGATTCATAATAAGCTTAACTTATATAATTCTGATTTTTCTAATAAACTTTAAAGATAATAAGTCCATATTATTTTATTTAAATTTCAGTTATGGTCTAATTTCAACATATCAAAATTAAATTAAATTATAACTCGGGCCTAAATAATCAAATCACAACATTCATAATATGAGCTAACTGGTTCATACATATATATAACAGATAACAAAAATTTCATGATAGAATATGACACAACCAAATTTGCAGAACTCAATAATAAATACATGTAGGTGCATTTTAAATGCACAATACTACAAATTATAAATTACTTTTTATAACTTCGTGGAAAAGAATATAGAGCTTATATGGACTAGTAAGAGTCTACTACCTGGAAAAAATAAAATAAAACGACTCGCTTTACAACTCATTGAATAATAATAAATAATGTGTAGTCTAGCCAATCACACAATTTGCTTCCCAAATTTATGTAATGAGCACACATCCAATTAAACACATGTCACAGCATCAACATCTACAAACAATATATCTTCTTAAGTATCTTGCGAAGTTTTTATCCAAAGTATGCAGTAACAAAAGTCATGCATGACATGACCTAGGGGTGTCAAGATGGGTTAGCGTGTTAGATTTGACACGGATTCGCCTAACACGCGACACGATTAGGGTCAACCTGAACACGACCAAATTTAAAATTGTGTTAAATTTATCAACACGAACACCATGCGAAAATTAGACAGATGATACGAACATAACATGTTTAACCCATCTAATAACATAAATAGCTTAAGTGAGTCGTGTTGACCCATTTACAACCCTTGTAATCCACTTAATATCATAAACAGATTAAGTGAGTCGTGTTGACCTGTATACGACCCACTTAATCTACTTATAATAATTTTAAATTTGAACCTATTTAACTCCATTCATATTTAAAAATAAATTTTCATACATAAAATGCATAAATTCTTCAACATTCATAACTAAAATAAAAAAAATTTTCATACATAAAAATGCATAAATTCTTCAACATTCAATAACTAAACATAAAAGTAATGTAAAAAAAAAAAATTTATTAATATATTTTACAACATTTTCCCTTATTTATGTAAATAAGATTCCATAAATTTTCGAAGGTAATTGGGACACTGGAGGTCTAAAATTTATTAAATAAATTTTTACAACATTTTCCTTTATTTGATTTCTTTTTCTTCCTTTTTATTATTCTATATGTCAGAAATTAAAATTTTTCGCTATTAAAACGAATAGATTTAATATAAGTTCATAGTTTAGGTTATCTTTGTTATTTTTTCAGTCAATGCCATTAAATTTTCATTAGAAATGAACAACTTTTTGCCAAAATTAAAGTTATAGAGTTTAAAATTGATAAATAAAAATTTAAGGGCACAATAAGTAAAACCCTATGAATTCAGGGACTAATTTATGCATTTTACCAAAACAATTGAATATTTAAATTTTTTAAAAATTTCAAGGGGGCCCATTGCCTTATTGGCCCACTCTTGGGTCCGTCCTGCATCAAAAAATGTATAAACACTATTAATGTATTTTTTAATAATGATATCAAATTTTGAGAATTTAACTAATTGTATTAAAATAAGAAATTAAGTATTTTTTATTTTATGTTTATGATTTATTATAAATAATTAATTATTTATTTTATTTATTTAAAAATATTAATGTATTATATTTATTTAGTGTTGTGTCCAAACGTTGTGGATGTCCTACTTTTCTAAAAATTGTTCGTATCGCGTATGTTTTCATCTCTCGTGTCTCGTGTTCGTGCAACCTAGCTCTTGATATATGAGACTACTAGTATAAAGTAAGTTAACTAACCAAGGTTTTTTTTTTATTACTAAGAAAAAATGAAGTGTTTTTTTTAATTTATTTTTATTTCTTTTTTTATTAATGAATGATCAGAAAGAATAAGAAGGAACTAAATTTTTTTTAGAAAAAACTTTTATTATTTATTTATTTTGGATATAAAAGAAAAATAAAATTAATAGAAGAAAGAAAACGCAGAGAGTAAAAAGTTCTAATGATCAATTTTCATCAAACCGTAACTCTAAACGGGTGGGAGAGTTTATTGGATAAAAAAACTCATGAACATGGAACCAAAAAAAAAATTTGGCCTGGCCGATTTGTTCAATACTAACATTTTTCAGAACTAAATTTAAGAAAAAAAATAAGAAGGAACTAAATTTTTTTTTTTGGAAAAAACGTATGTTACTTATTTTTTTGAATATAAAAGAAAAATAAAATTAATTTTTCTCTATAAATTTATTTTTATAGGTTTTTTATTTTTTCTAATTTGAAGAGAAAATTATGAGAATTTTTTCCCTTATATTCTTTTTTTATTTTCAAATAAAATAGTTTTGCTTATTACTATTAATTTAGTTTTTTTTCCTCTTATATGATGTTATCTGAAAATATAAAATATCTTATCTTCTTACAATTGTTGTCCATTACAAGTTATATTCTTATATTTATGCCAAATAATTATTCTCCTTATACATGACAATTTAAAAAACTTAGACTTGGTTGTCATTTAAGATAGATTTCTCTACTTTTATATATTATATAGATAAGAGGGGACTAAATTTTTTTTGAAACAAATTTTTTTTTAACTGAGTATGAGCCATCTTCAGGCTTATTTTAGTTTAATCTTAAAATATTATCTTGTAGCCTTTGATTTTCATCTGCTCAATACCAAGTTGATTTGAAGGACACAGAATCTACCAAGGAGCAGGTTTTGGCTTCATTGCAGGCAGAGAGCCAGTGGAATTGGAAACTGACAGCCAATCAATATTTTGCAAATGCTACTGTAGTTTCAACAGTTTTTATTATAAACATTTTATTCATTTCAATAATAGTAATTAGAATTATAAACATTTTATTCATTTCAATAATAGTAATTAGACATTTTAAATTTTTTATTTTATTATGGTTCTGCATTTGGGTAATTTTTATTTTATTTTAGTATGAAGTTGCTATTGAAGGTAAGACCGGTAAAGAACATAAACTAGCAAATAAAAAAAAAAAAAAGACAATTATTACATATTTAGACATATACAGAGACAAATAAAAAACATAAACTAATAAATAGTTATCAAATATAACGAGTGAAAGATCTCAAAATTCATGCCAAAAGACAAAATTTGATGAAGTAAAATTAAATATAAATTTGACTTAAATTTTTTTTTATTTCCCCTGTAAAATTGGCCCCCTCTAATTTATTTATTTGCTTAATGGATAATTTGATGATGAAGTCTATATCTAATTCTGATACTTTGATCAAAATGAGCATATATAACATATCAATTATCAGACCAATTACAAAGTTTTAAAGCACACCAATTGCTTGAATAATGCAAACAGTAATAAATACTTGTACAAGATAAAGGAATTGTATACAAAAGGAAAAAGAGAAGTTTTAATACTTTTCAAAAAAATTTGTATTCGTTGACTATTTATTTTCCAAAAAAGAAATTAGTTGAAATCTGGTAGGGGCAATTTTGGGTTTTGAAGAAGTAATCATATTTTATGTTGCAAATCTCGGGCTAGGGGCAAATTCTTTGGGTTTTGAAGTAAGGTAATCATATTTTGGGTTGGTTTTCGATGGTGGTGATCCCGAATTCCTAATCGAAAAAATAAGGTAATCAAATTAAGATAAAACGTAGCAGCAAAAACTATTTCCTTTCAACCAAAACTGTTTTACGCAGAAGAACGGAAGATAACACTGCTTTCTCTTTCGCCTTTGTGCATACGTGTTTGTCTTTTCCAGATAATCGATAGATGTTACATTAAGCAAATGCCGGGTGGATAACCACCATGAAAAAGAAATGCCCACGTCCATTTTACTGTTTCATTCGGCTTCGTCCGGCAATTGGATATTGCATTGGTTCCGTTTCTTTTAGTAGTTCAAAAGCACCTACTCCATTTTGATGAGGCACTGTAAGAGGTGGAGCTAAATCTGATTTTCTATGTCATCAACAACTGATGAGATTGTTTAAAGCTTCCTGCAGTTAATTTGGGAACCTGCTTCAATAGCTACTTTTTTGTTTCTTCTTTTCATCGCACTATTAACGGAATTTAGTAAAATTGTTTCGCGCTCTGCACTTCGCTTCGAAATGCCAAACAACTTATGCTACTGTCATTACTCACTCTCTCTAAACTGACTGGAAATGTTTGGAATTTTCACATTAAATATTTATTTCTTAAGAGTTTATTTTTGGATTAATTTGCTTTCTGCCAGGTCTAAACCATGTCGAGTTTTGGTGTACTGCTGATCGGTAAAATCTTCATAACTTGGTTTTAAGCCACTGATAATTTGGTAACGTTTAAGACCTTAAATCCATGGCTTTGTATGTGGCAGGATAAATTTGGTGAAGCTGTGGATTTGTTGAGTGATATTGTTGATATAAACAGGTGTTATCAACGCCAATGTTTTTATATCGCTATACTTGTGATTGTGAATTTGTGTCGTGGTGTAAAATTGGGAAGAACGCACTGTGGCCTTTGGTGTCTGAAAAGATGGTCGACGAAGGTTGTGATGCCTGATGTTGGCCTGTCCCATTATGCCTACTCGTATTGGGACAGCCTCTGCACAGGATAGACCTTTGTTACCGCCCGAGGCCATTAGAATTCCTCTTCTTGAACAATATCATCGAGCGAAGGTATCTTGCCTAATAATGTTTTTTACTTACAGCCACTTAAATCCTCGTGGTTTTTGTGCACTCGTCACAGCATAAACAGATTTGGGGACGGGTGGCTGATCTGAGATGGAAGGAAGCTTTTTTTGAAAATAAAGAGCGAAGGTATCTTGCCTAATGTTGTGACTTACAGCACCTTAATCCGTGGTTTATGCATGTCAAGCAGATGGAAGGAAGCTTTTATGTTGCTTAACGAAATGTTGAGAGCGAACATCACACCAAATATAATTACCTTCAATACTTTGGTTGATGGACTTTGTAGGGAAGGAAAGGTTTCAAAAGCTCATGGTGCAGTTAAATTGATGATGCAGAGAGGAATAGAGCCTGATTCTATCACCTATAATTCATTGATGGATGGATATTGTCTACACAACCAAGTGGATCAAGCTAGAGAAATTTTTGACCTGATGGTAAGCAAGGGTTGTACACCTGATGTTTTTACCTACAACATCTTGATTCATTGTTACTGTAAGAGAAAAATGATAGATGAAGCAATGCGGCTTCTTGATGAAATGCGTCGCAAAGGCTTGATGGCTAACCATGTCACTTATAGTTCTCTTATACGTGGCTTGTGTAAAGCAAAGAGCCCTTGTGCTGCACATAAGTTTTTCAAGGACTTGTGTGCGAGTGGCTATTCTCCCAACGTGGTGGTGTACTCGGTTTTGATAGATGGCTTTTGTAAGCATAGCTGTCTTGATATGGCATTGGATCTATTTCATGAAATGCAAAATGCAAAAAGAAGAGTTATTTGGAAGTGTCCTAAACACCTTATTGTCTTAATAGTAACTGCTAATTGACCCTGGTCCTGCTTAAAGGCCTGAAAGGTTAAAGATGGCAAAGGAATTGTTTTTTCTATGTACTTTCCATATGAAGGGTTTGCCATCCCTCGATTTTTCAACATACACTATAATGTGTCCAATAGGACTTTTGTATAAGAATGGATTATTTAATGATTGAAGCATTAGAAAAAGGTTGATCAGGAAAATGGAATATGGGATGGTTGCTCACCAATGAATTGCTCTTATAATCCCGTGATTATGTCCAATTAAGGATACCTCTCCGAACAATGATTTTGTCGCATGGCAATCCAGAATTCAATTGTAATGGAAATGGTTGGTCAAGGGACCGTTTTCTGCTAATGCGACTACCTGTGGAGTTTTGATTACGTATAACAATTGATCTGCTTTGTGAAAAAGTGCTACTAAACCTGGCTCCTAAAAGTTCTCAAGGTGTAAAAGTTGAGTGAGATTTTTAGAAAAGAACAATTGTTTATACAGTCACAGGAAGTTGTTTGTTCTGTACCTTCGGTATATGACTTTAATATTTGTTCTCTATTTTCTTGGCAATCTAACTGTTATTTATTCTGTATCAGACCTTCTAATAAGCTGCTGGCTTGGCAATAAGTTGTAATACTTTAACTTGGTTTCTTTGTACTTGCTAATCATCAGAAAAATAAGTTAGGCGATGTTTTTGTTCTTTTCACTTGTTAATATCTGCCTGTCGCGGCTATCTATGCAAAAGATATGTGGATAAATTGGCTATAAATTTTTAATTTGATTCAGGTCTTTTACAATCAGAAATTAGACTCTGATAATGGAGCAGGAGATTGTGATCTAAAATCTTCTAGAAGCCTAACCCGTGAGATATGGACCCAATCTTGGAAGCAAATTTGCAAAATTTTCTTGTGCCATCCTTTGACTAGGAGGTATGAATACCGCTGAGCGATTCCTCGCAGTATGCTCAGAACAAATTCGGTCTCTAGTCACCATTACTACAAGCTGAAAACGACCCAAAAATCGCCGCCGTATTTCGCGATTCACCGTAATGAACGCTTAACCACAGTCTGTTTGTCCCCAAAGTCCTAACCATGTCCTATTATTAACCTGGCACATCCATCATCAAGTACCAAATCTCTATCACTTTCAGCTAAGCCTCCTGCGCTATGAAATGAATGGTTCGAGGAAAGTTGCCTGTCCTGACTGTGGGTATATAATTGCCGAGGGTCATCCGGACAGCCTTTTGGCGCAACAGGAGCAATCATTCGGTATAGCTGAGCGCATTGCGATCTCTTCTTTGGAAATGAATGGAGCGATAGGTAATCTTACCGCTAATAATCAGGTGTGACTTACAGCCACCTTAATTTCGGTTATGTGCGAGGGGTCCAAGCAGATCGACCGAAGGAAGCTTCAATTACTGTTGCTTAATCCTATACATGTCTGAGAGCAACCCCTCGCCCCATAATATAATTCCCCTTCGCATTTCAATCACTTGCAGTTGAGGATCTTGTTAAGAAATAGGAAAGGTTTTCAAAGGCTCATGGCACTTAGTCAATTGATGATGCGAGAGGGACAGAAAGCCCTAATACTACTATCTACCTATAAACAGTTTCATTAATGGATCGGATATTGTACGATCACACCTATGAAGTGGATCAAGGCTTGAGACGAAATGCTTTGACTATGATGAATAGCATCAAGGGTTGTGGCTAGCGCACCTACTGTCATTATCCTACAGCATCCTGATTTCATTCCTCCTGTGGTTTGTAACCGTTAATTGACGAAATAAAGTGATACCGACGAGGCAATAGCGGCTTCTTGATTGAAGATTCGGTGTTGGCGCAAAGGCTTCTAAATGACCTATTATGCCGGTTTCCACTATATAATTACTCCTTTAGGTAGCGTCAATTGGCTTGTGAGTAGAGATGCAACACAGAGCCCTTAGGGCTGCGCTCATAAGTTTTTCAAGAACTTTGTGGGCATGGTATTCTCTTACTGTACCAATCGTGGTGGCACTACCTGCGGGTTAGGTGTCGATATGATGGCTTTTGTAATGCAATAGCTGTGTTTGAGACTTATGGCATTAAGTGGATCTATTTGTCATTTGACCACATGTCATACAGGAGAGTCTTAGTTGATATGCCTGGACCTTGAATTCTCGTTCAGTAGTAACACCTGATTGATGGTTTAATAGTGTTCATATAAAAATTAGGCCCAAAGATTAAAGATGCAAAGGAATTGTTCTTATTCTAAGACTTTCCACTAGAGGGGTTTGAAGCCTGATTGTTTTTTTCACTACTACCACTTAGTTTGATATTGGCCGTTCTAAAGGATTTTTGTAAGAAGGATTATACTGTATCTGACAGCTATTGCAGGTTTTCTCAAGGATAAATGAAAGGTGAAGGGTTGCTTACCTAAATGAGTTGCCTCTCTCTTACTAAGTGATTATGCCATAGGATATCTCCGAACACAATATGATTTTTCGTCTCATGGAAAGTTACAAAACTTATAAGTAGAAAATTTGGTATGGCATAACAGGTGGTTTCTCTGTGCGAGATGTCGCGCCAGCAGAACTGCGAATCTGGTAGTCATATTTATTTTACGAGCGTACGAAAGATCTCCGCTTTTATTAACAACTGTGTTGCTATAGCGGGCCTGCTCTATCCTGTTCTCAAAAGGTGGTAAGTGCAAACAGTAGAAGATCTCCGTTCTACGTATAGATACATTTTGTGATTACGAGAGTTTGCGGTACCTTTTGTTAGTTATATTACAGTTTCACACATAAATGATAATGTGTGTAATCATTAATGGTACACGCAGCTCTGTATTCTCGCTTTATGTTTTGGGTACGTTATTGCCAAGATAATGCTGTGTAGTTCGGTCCGTTATACAGGACCAGACAAACATACCATAAAAGCATATAACGAACACAAAATTTCCCTAAGAATTTTCTTCATAATGTCATGAGAGATATTCTGTTAGGCGCGGTGCGATATATTATTCAGATTTATTTTTGATCCTGCATCTTATCGAGAACTGCTCTGTCCAGTTAATGGCCTATCAGTAATACCCATTTCAAAGTGGATGGGGATTTTCATAATGAATGTATACTTGCGGTTGCGCTGAAACTGCTTTGATCTGTATGTTCCTCCGGGCCAATTGTGTATCGTTTCCCTTAATGCCTGTTATTAAGATTTGGAGAAAACTCCCTAAGGTTAGCGCGTATGCTGTGATTCGGTTTACCGAATCTGGACTGTAATTGTATTGTTCATTAAACAGACAATCGGTAACCTTGTCATGTCTCGTTGTTCACAATTATTGTTCCAAATCTAACTGTCCATCTCAGCAGGACAGAAAAGTTCAAAAATTCTGCAGACCCTGACGATCTTCCTCCTATGTCATCTCAAATCCTCGCAAAAGACACAGGAGAAAAACGTAGATGAGATGGGAAATCCGGCTAGGATATCAAAAATATAAATCTCCTGAACATCATCTCCATGAAGGTGAGGATCCTTCTTTTGTCAGTCCATGTTTTTTGATAGTTTCCAAATTCCTCATAGCTTTATCTAAATATAATTTTCCAATCACCACGGTTTTTTCCATACGGGTTTCTGCAACAAACCCGAAACCAAAACAAATTCCAGGCAATTATTTATTTTGATAAACACATTGTGATGAGTGAGATTGTTGTGTGATTGCCCATAAGCCGGCTTGTTATTGTGTACCTCTAGAATGCTCTCTCAGGATCTCTCAATATAGCTTTCCTTGGCCATTTTTTTTATTCAATATCTCATGAATATGCTGAGCAGTAAATATTATTGGTCCCCAATTAATATAATAAATGACTTATGCAATATTACAGGATGTTAATAATAAATAATAAAACCACTAACCCTAGCCTCCAATAATATGGTTCTTCCTTGGTCTTCCGAACGTTGCTTTGCCATAGTCAGATAGATTCTGATACAACATCATTGTTGCGCAATATTTGTCTGCTTAGCACTTTCCAATGATATAGCTTCGCATCTAACATCTAAAGACATTAGTACTATTGGTTGTCTTCCGACGTTCGTGACCCCCACCTATGGACTTCTACGGGTTCTAGTCAAGTATATTTTCGTTAAGATATATCTCTTCAGATGTGGTCTTTACAATCCCTCATTTCGTTTAGAGTATAATAAAAATAAAACCACATAGCTCCATAATAGGCTTCGAACTTAGCTTGCATAGTAGAAGACGATACTATTGTCTCATTTGTCTGCTTAGCACTTTTCCAAGATATAGCTTCGCCATCTAACATAAAGATTAGTCTATTGGTGGAACTATGGACTCTGGTCTAGGCAAGTATTTTTCGTTAAGGATATACTCAGATGTGGCTTTCAATCATCTAAATATCTCTAACAAAACTAGAGTGTGTATATGCTAATAATTATGGGTGCTCAACTTTTTTGTATGTAACATATAATTTGTTTTTCTTTAATCTTTTATTTCAAATAAGAAAATAAGATAAATTTGCGTAAAATCCACCAAATTTATTGAACCGACACAACCAAATATATTCAATTTGATTCTATTTTATTGATAGTTTGATTTCGGTTTGGTTAAAAAGAAAAAAATTTATAGTTGAGAGAATGCACATCTGACATCCTTTGTTAAACAAGTCCACACATCTTATTTAACTAGAAGCACATACATATCTTAATGCTAAAGCTCATGTCTTAGTATTTGATCCGATTTTGACGAGTTGAGAATTTAGACAACATTTTTACTTCTCACGGTAGATTAAGATTCAACAACCTGTTATTTGTCGTTTAATTAATATTGTAAAAGTATTAAAAATAATTTCTTTTCAAAAAAATGATAAATATATCTTTCTAATATAATTATTATTGTATATTTAGCATAGATGTATATTTCTTATTAAGTGGAAGTAAAATTTATAATTTATAATTTTTTTATTTTTCAAAATAAAAAATAAAAAAAATATATGTTTTTAACATTAAACAAGTATTTAAATAAGT